TAAAGAAAAAAACAGTTCCAAGATTGTTTACAAGATAAAATAATATTATTAGTAATCAAATATTATTTGATTTGTAACCTACGCTGTTATAAACCCGGAAGTAACTTTCTCAACACAGTTGTAAATAAACGCACGCAGCGAGACTAAGGCCATATAAAAAAAAAAGTTGGTTAGCGTCCTTAGCTTTTGCCAAAAAGTGGGCGGGCGGGCGGTTTTTTTTTAAATTTTACTAATTTTTAACGCCTTGGTTTTACTCACTGTTAGGTCCGAAACTGGATTTTCTTGCGCAGTACAGATATTTTTTATATATTTCAAAATATAATTCATACCGTCATTTTCGCACGCAATTTCGCAAATTATTAACACAATTGACTACAGTCAACAGAAATACTACATATATTAGAGCCCGTTGATCAATAAATGTCGTTTTTTTTTAAATAAAAAATCAAAAAAAATCCTGAGCGGGGCCTTTTTTGTGGGCGGGCGGGGACGCTAACCAACTATTTTTTTTTATGTAGCCTAATTGTCCACTGTAGTTTAATATTGCAACTCAAACTGTCTGATTATGTTACATTGGTTTCTTACAGTTCTTGTAACATAAAGGTAAGTCCATTGTATTTTTCGTATTTCCTTAGCTTTATCTCGATTAAGTTTTAATTTAAATTACACGGAAATATTTAACTAAGAGTCTAAGTGTTTTCCCAATCACCAAATGTAATGTAACTTCCACCGACAAAAATATTAATGGGAAGAATTGTTTCTGCTCTACCATGATATCAATTTGGTACAGCTCATTACAAGTATTGCAGGAATCACTTGAAACTGAACTGAACCATTTACTACAGACATAAAAAACAGGCAGTCGCGAGACTGCACGTGCTACTGCTGTTTACAAACAATATAACAATGCACGGAAAGTATTACATGTAACCAGACACAGTTCTATAATGCCCTAGTATCTTCTAGGGACAAACCTACAAAACAAACCGGTGCCCTAGTGTCTTCTAGCGACAAACCTAAAACAAAGTCAAAACCGTCGACACTAAAGTGCATGGCAGAATAAATAGTTGCATATTGACAACAGTTTGTCCTGAAGCGGGATTTCAAGGCCCCCCTTCCCTATTGGCAGCACCCCCCCCATTGTTGAAACCCGTCGGAAAATTGGAAATTTGTTATGTTGTCGAATCGATACGTAAGAAAAGTTATTTCAAAGTATGTGTAATAAAATGCAAGTCGACATGAATGTATCGATAGGAAATGTAAACAATTAAATATGCAGCGTCAGCAGCAATAAAAATAATTATTACCTTGGCTTAGAGATTACATCAAGTAAATATGCTTGTGATTCCGCATAAACGTACAAACTCACAGACAGAATCAGTAAAGCCGGTGTCAAACTTGGACGGGCACCGCAATTTAAAGCCATATAACCTTGGGGCTGCGGCTATGTTTTTTACGTTCGAAAAAAGTTAAAATGCATGCTTGGTCGTCGTGCGTACGTACGTGCGTGCGCGCAGTATGTATATACACATATACTGTAGACAAAGTAACTTGAATGCAAAGAAAATCATTAAGAAGTAAACTCTGTGTTCTCAGTGTCATTTACAGTGAAGCATGTTAACTTTTTGAATAGAACAAGCGTAAGATATTGGAATCGTAACGCGCCGGTTAATAAAATCCAAGCACGCAATTACGCTAATATTGTACATGTTTAAGATCAAATTTCGCCAAGACACAAAAGAATCCCAAACATCTAAAATCGTCGTCGAATGACTACATCCTAGCCCTAACGAATTATGCATATGTACCTTTAAAAAGGAAGTAGGACCATTTTTAAATAGGCGATTTCCAAGACGTACTTTGGCTAGTTTGGAGAACCCGGAAATTTCAACCATCTTTGATCTAAAATAACCAAGTCAATAACATTTCGATTTATGGAGAAAAGACACCACAAGAAAGTTCCATATATTCTAAAAACATATATTGGAATAGCAGACCAAAACTTATAATGCGCGCTCAGCACAGCACATGATGTTCACTGCTTTATTTAGCGACATTTCTTGGACATTTCGCGTCATTTTTGGTTCGATTTTTGAAGTACTCTAACTTTTCTTCATTTTGTGTTTCATGGCTGAAACTTCAGTAAATATGTGGGGTTGGATAGGTCTACAATATATATAAAATCGAGGGAAATTGAAGAACTTTCAGTTTTTCATATCTGCCAGAAAATGGTGAATTATTGCGATTTTTACAGACAAGCTCTCTTAATAATTGCATGCACTACATTTGTATCTAAAAAATATCGTATCCTATTTAAATATTTACAAAGTTACCAAAAGGAATCAAGTGCCGTCAAGAATACGTTTACATTTGTTAAGGCTAATGCCTTTTTCTTTTGCTGTAGTTGATAAATCATTCCAAAGGGATGCAGCTGAATAACTGAAGCTCTTTTTCATAAAATTTGTTTCAGGTTTTCCAAGATCATAGTTGTTATTGTTACTTCTTAAATTATATCTGTCATTTATTTTAATTTTGAACATGTTGCAAATTGATGATGGCATTTTTTCGTTTCGTATTCTGTGCATAAAAATCGATTTATTGGTTTTATAGCGTTGGTTTAAAGGTTGCCAGTCTAATTCTTTTAAAACATCCTCAGAACTAACTTTATAAGTTTTACCAGTCATGATTCGGGCCGCTCTGTTTTGTAATTTCTGAAGTCTGTTTTTTAAGTAATCACAACAGTTATCCCAAACCAAGCTACAATAATCAAAATGTGATAGCACAATGGCATTATATATTTTTACTAAGGTTGATTTGGGAACAAACTGTTTTATTCGTCGCATCATTCCTATTCCTTTTGAAGCTTTTGTGACAATATTTTGGATTTGATGATTCCATAAAAGATGTTCATCAATAATTACGCCTAAAGTTTTTGATTTGTGAACCCGTTTAATGACTGATTCACCAAGCTCAATTTTAGGGTCCGTTAGTATACTAAGTTTGAAATTCGTTGTCTTGAACCAATAATCATGTATTCAGTTTTATCTTTGTTAAGTGTAAGTTTGTTTGCAAGTAACCATTGGTGTATATTTTCTAAGTCCACGTTAATGCGTTATTGTAGTTCGTCATTTGTTTTGCCATTGGTTGAAACATTTGTGTCATCGGCAAACATGCTTGCTGAAGATGAGGTCAGGCAGTTTGGCAGGTCGTTTATATATAATAAGAAAAGAAGTGGCCCAAGATTAGAACCTTGGGGTATTCCACATTTAACTGTTCTTGTCGTGGACATTGTTTGATCTACCTTACATATTTGAATCCTGCTAGAAAGATAGGACTGGAACCAAGCAAGCGTATGACCTCTTATTCCATAACAATGCATTTTTTTTAACAATATATTATGATCAACACAGTCAAACGCTTTTTTGAGATCCAAAAAAATCACTCCATTTAACAAACCCTTATCCATATTCATTAGCCATTGGTTCGTGATGTTAAGTAGAGAAGTTTGTGTAGAGTGATTTTTCCTAAATCTTGTTGTTCTGCAAGAATGTGATTAGTTTCAAGATAAATTTCTAGTTGCTCTGTAACTAATTTCTCATATATTTTAGCAACTGAGGATAGAACCGAGATTGGTCTATAATTATCGCAATTAGTTTTGCTTCCAGCCTTATGAATTGGAGAAATGATAGCAATCTTGAAGTCTTCAGGAAATATACCAGTGTTTATAGATGCGTTAAAGATTGCTGACAGGGATGGTGCTATTACTTCAGCAGCGTCTCTTAGAAGTTTACCGGGTATTCTATCATGCCCTGCTGATTTGGATGTTTTAATTGTAGAGAGCAACTTATATACCTTAGTTAATGAAACATTTTGTATCGTAAATTGTGTATCGGACCTAGTCACGTATGACTCAAATGTCCATGAGCTCTGTGGCATGTTATTAACCAAACGAGATGCAACTTCGTTGAAATGTGAATTTAAAGCATCTGCAATTTCATATTTTTTAGTCAAATTTTGATTATCGTTCTGGATTTCAGATATAACAGTTGTTTTTGACTGTTTGTTTGTAAGTTTATTAATTGTTTTCCACATTTTCTTTGGGTTGTTATCACAGTCATTTAAAGTATTTGTAAAGTAAATTGCTTTTGTATTCTTAATTAATCTATTCAAATCATTTCGTGTGCGTTTATAAGCATCATGGAAAAGTTTTGATCCTGTCTTAACTGCTTTTTTCTTTAAAAAGTCTCTTCGACGCATAGTTTGTTTAATATTTTCTGTAATCCATGGCGCGTACTCGCTTCTAACCTGTTTTGTTCTTTCTGGTGCATGAAAATCTGCAACCGACAGAAATATTGTTTTCCAATTTTCCCACATAATATTTGGATCAAGCATTGTATCACAGAATACTTGATCATATAAGTATGTGGAAAGGTCTGATTTAAAGTTGTTTGAGTTGTAGTGTTTGAAATTTCTTGATTTAATCACTTTTGGCTCTTTACGGGGAACGGAAATTTTCCTCTGTATATAGATTAAGCTGTGATCACTTATCCCCAGATGAATGACATTCGAGCCATTTATCAATTCCGGTTTATTGGTGAATGCTAGATTTTACTATTAGCTGTAATTCGCGTTGGTTCACTAATTAATTGTTGAAATTGGAATGTCTGTGCATTCCAGCAAGCTTGTTTGTCTGAGCGTTAGCGCTGTTACTATCCAAGCGAAACCAATCGCAGTTGTAATCTCCAAGTAAAATTATTTCCTTGTTTTCAGAGTCCATTCGAGTAATTAAATCCTCGAATGCATTGAATATTTCAAGTGTTGTATTGGGTGGTTTATACCAGCTATTAATTAAGAATGGTTTGGATTTTGGTTTTGAAATTTCAAGTGTAATTGTTTCGAGATTATCGTCAGTTAAATCGTCTCTTATTGTGAAGTTTATTGAGGTTCTTATGTATATTGAGACTCCACCACCATGCCTGGTGGTGGAGTCTCCTAAGTTTATGTTTATCAACATATGTAGTCTGGCAAAAACAAAAAATCGAGTACGAGCTGTAGTTGCACTGGAGGCAGACTTGGTCAATAACGATATAGATGTATGTGTGGTGAGCGAGAGTCACCTGAAACCTGAAATGCCAGATGCTGTGGTGACCATTCACAATTATTCAATATTTAGAAGAGATAGAAGTTGGGAAGGACGCGATATGAGAGCAAAAGGAGGGGTAGCAATATATGTTCGGAACAACTTAAAAGTTATTGATATTTATCGATCCAGTTTGTACGAACTTATTGGTATCACACTTCTGTTACCTACAGGAAACCGCATGTCGATATATGGCCTTTATCACCCACCTAGGCACAATTATCTGGAGAGCGACTTATTGGATTATTTGATAAATATTTCTGACGACGTTCTGGACAAATATCCAGACACTGTAATTGTTTGTGGAGGGGATTTGAACAGTTTGGACATAAAACACCTTGAGGAACTATCAGGATGGGATGCAATGGTCGACTTTTCAACAAGGGGTAACACATGTTTGGATAACTGCCTTACAAATAGAATAGATTTGTTCTCAAAATGTTATCCTTTCCACATGTTAACTAAAACAGACCACATGGGGGTTATTTTACCAGCAGGGACGAAACTAAAACCTATGCGCCGAAAGGGTGAATTTCGGGATTGTAGAAAGCATCGAAAGGAAGATTTCCACAAAGCTTTAGCAGAAGAAGATTGGGAGGATGTATCGCAGTCCACGAATGTAAATGACTCTGTGAATTGTCTTGAACGTAAGATCAAGGATCATATGAATAAATGTATGCCCACAAAAACAGTCTCAATTTCGTCACGTGACCCTTACTGGATGAGTCCTTTAATTAAATCTTTGCTAAAATCTAAATCCAGAATTGCTCGGTCGCAAAAGGATAGACTCAGTTTAATTAACAAAAGGATTTCTGATGTCATTTGTCAAAACAGAAGAAATTTTAGGGCCTTGGTGGGAAGTAGAACTTGGTGGAGGAAGACGAATGATATTTCTCAGCGAAATGCATCGTCATCAAGAGTTACTTTAGATAATGCATCACTTACAAGATTAAATCGCTACTTTGGCGAACTCTGCCACGATGATAGTTATGTCGAACCGACGCTATCAATTATTGGTGATGAAGTAGATATTCCTAGCTTTACGGAACAGCAGGTATGGAATGCCTTGAAAAGAATAAAGAGGACAGCAACAGGTCCCGATTATATTCCCTATTGGGTTTGGAATGATCATGCGGAAATTCTAACCAAAGTTATAACTAACGTCTGGAATTTGTCCCTTTCATCACATACTTGGCCAGATTCATGGAAAAGAGCGAATATTAACCCTCTTGCAAAGGTTGATTTACCAAAGGAAGATGGTGACTTTCGTGGAATAAATATTACACCTGTAATTGCGAGGACCTTCGAAAAGCTCGTTTATAATAGTCAGGTCAAGTCGACAGTTGAGGAAATTTTATCCCCAACGCAATTTGCGTACAGGCAGGGGAGGAGTTGTACAAACGCTCTGTTAACTATTCAGAACAAAGTACTCAGCTTCTTAGATAGAGCGAATTGCAAAGCAGTTAGACTGTTTTCTATGGATTTTAGCAAGGCTTTCGACTCAGTGAAACATTCACTCCTCTCGGAAAAGTTAAAAACTGTGCCACTCAACCCTTATATCATAAATTGGTATTTAAATTTTCTAAAGAATAGAAAGCAAAGAGTCGTTTGTAACGATTTTTGCGGAGAATGGATGGATGTTAATAAGGGTACAACACAGGGGAGCGTAAGTGGCCCCTACCTTTTTAATATTTTCCTAAATGATCTAGAGGTGGACATAGACGGCGAGAACGCTCTTTTTAAATATGCGGACGATTCAAATATAATAGTGCCAGTTTGGAGTGAGGGTCCTGATACATCAACAGATACAGTTGGACAATTCCTGAGCTGGTCTGACGATAATTTTATGACTTGTAACCCTGGTAAATGTAAAGAGCTTATCATCCGGAAGAAGGGATATAATGATCAACTCGACAATGTTTATAATATACCCCAATGCAAAGAACTTCCCATTTTAGGTACTATTTTTCAAGACAATCTCAAGTTCACCAGTCATGTGCGAGGTAAATTGGTCAAAGCAAACAAATGCTTGTACGTTATACGAACACTCAGGGCAGAAGGCATAGCCAATGTGAGATAGATTATCTATTTAAGAACCTAGTAATATCTACTATAACGTTTGGCCTGTCCGTCTACGGTTCTTCTCCAGCTGAACTCAGTACTCTATACTACTCTACAACGGTTTTTTGACAGATGTTTCAAGCGAAAGTATATATCAGAACCTGTAAATATTAGATATCTTTTAGAAATACAGGACAGAAATATTTTTAAAGCTTCTGTAAATCAGAAGAGTGCCATAGTCGACTTGATACCAAGAAAAAAATCCACAAGCTACTCTTTGAGGACAGAGTTTAGTCAGTATCCAAGAGTGAACACGGAACGTTTTAAATTGTCGTTTGCAAATAGAATAGAATTTTTGACTATAAGACTTTTGAATTGAATTGAGAGTATGTCAGCGTATATAGAGTGATATTTTCCATACGCTGGCATACGCTAGTACGCGATACGCAATAGTGTAACAGAGCTTTTATATAGGTGCACTTTAGAAAGCTATATAATTTCCACTTGAAATTTTCTTCATCAAAATCACTTCAACATTTATTTATGTTGAAAGAGATGGTCAAAGTCTTCGTCCTTTATTAAAACTTTTAACCTTTACATTATCAGACGGTGGTCACAGTCAGATTGGTTACCAAGAGATAAGAAAAAATGATTTTTATTACAACAAAGATCATTGTTGGCATTCATGTCTTGATATATTTTGGTACGAGTCTGGTCGTTTGTAATAATGATATCCCGTTTTGTCGCAAGCGGTTGAAAGAACTGAGAAAAGACGAGAAAGACTGGAGTGGAAGATGCTTGAATGGTGAAGGTGAAAACCTTGATACACCCAGCTGTGAAGCAGAGAAAGAATACAATCACGAGAGGATGTGTATGTACACAAAGATATGCTTTTATAAAGGTAATATTAGACTGTAGCTTAAGTTACTTAAGTACAGGCGCCTTAATGTTTATATTTCTCTGATGCATCAAAATAAAGTCCAATGGTAATAATGCTTAGATCCAGGAAAGAATTTATATTTCCAGTTGTGAAAAGTATTTCTTTAATTAAGCGCATTATGCATGCTAATTATAAAATAATTTCAGTAAAGTCCAGATTCAAGAGAGTATTTTGCTTTCATAATTCCTTTTAAAACATAATTCCTTTTAAAAAGAATACTGTTGAACCAAAACTTTTGAAGTTAGGTGAATGTGATTATTCATAATATTTTATTTTTTTCGAATTAAATTACTTCGAAGTCAAAATATCCGCCATATTGAAACGTCAATGTTGCCATAGCAACGTTATAGTTCGGTAACTTTAGTGCACAAATTCAAACTCTTTAGATTTTGTTTTACATTTTGTTTTACTTAAGGCGCTCTTTGTTTTTCAACAGGCAATAATTGTCCAATACTACAGATCTAAATCGTAAATTTTCCAATTTTTAAAAAACTATCGAGCAACATCGATCGTCTTCGATCATCTGACAAAAATCGTTCGAAAACCAGTGATATACGCCATTAATAAAGTGAAGCTATCGAAGTATATCACTGAGCTATACATAGAAGCATATTTGGAGATTAAAGAAAAGCGGAAGACCTCACATGAACAAACCCCTTGTAACAATTGTGTGCGTGCATGGGAATAATATTTTTGCAAAAGCAGGGCATTCCATTGATGTTGATGTAACTTTTCCGTGCGCAGACCATATTTCCCGCAAAAAATGTTTCTGGTGGATAAACTTAGAGAAAATTTTTGACATTTTGCTTACAGTCGTGCCAATAGAAGCGTTCCGAAAAATGTTGACCAGTTCATTTCCTAACTTCGTGGAGTTCCTCTGAACAATTCCTCAACAATTTGATAAGTTCCTTAAAAAGTTCCTAACTTCCTGTTTCATTGACCAATCAGATTGCTCAAAAATAGAATATAAAATTTGATTGGTCAATGAAACAGGAAGTTGGGAACTTTTTAAGGAACTTATCAAATTGTTGAGGAATTGTTCAGAGGAACTCCTCGAAGTTAGGAAATGAACTGGTCAACATTTTTCGGAACTCTTCTATTGGCACGACTGTAAGCTGATTTCTGTCGTGATATTTTACAGGTAAACTACATGAAGCGTTCCTCTTTTGACTTCCTAACTCATTTGGAATTTTCCTCATTAGCTTTGCAAATTTGAAAAACTCTTTGCAAATCCCTTGAGGGAATTTGCAATGTTCATATCGGCTGTTGCAATATTCCAATGCAAACAAACTTCATTTTAAATTTTCCTAACTTCCTGTTTTAATTTCCTAACTTCCTGTTCTGTTCTGAGCGTTGTTATTGGTCGATTATTTTCGTTAGCCAATTGCAACGCCCAGAACACAACAGGAAGTTAGGAACTTGTAACAGGAAGTTGAGAACTTCTAACAGGAACTGAGGAAAATTTAAATGGTTTTTAGCAACATTGCAAATTTCCTCAAGGGATTTGCAAGGGAGTTTTTTAAATTGCAAAGGTAATGCGGAAAATTGCAATCAATTTAGAAACTCAAAAGAGGAACGCTTCACGTAGTTTACATGTAATACATGCATGTATAATTTATCTTGTTAGCATAGTAAGGTTTCACTTTTCACTCTTTAAGGTGATTCATCAGTTTTGCATTGCTCACTTTTACTGCGCATATCTAATAACAAATTCTAGCTAATAAATGTAGTCGAACTGCAATGTAAAGTGATAAAGAAAGAGTAAGCGCAAAGAGAAAAACACACTGCATTGATTAGGCGTGCTTCAGGAAATATATACCTTCAAAAATGACAGGACTCTGGCTAGGGCTCGCTGTGCAACTAACACTAAACCACATCATGTTGCATGTTTAACCCTTGTATCTCTTTAAGAAGTCCGTGACCCTACTTTTTTATTTTATATTGTTCTTCTACGTTTTACATGAAATAAGAGAAAAATCGTTTCTACAACTTATTATATTCTATACATTTTTCGCGCATGCTTCCCAAAATAACATGTCTGAGAAGATGGGGAAAAACATCTTTGCACCACGACAATGCACGTCAATGCTTTTTGATTCGCTAAAATACCTTGTTTTTTTTTATATAATCACCAGGTAGACATTTTTAGTAGGATCCTTGTTAAAAAATTCAGTAACGGTTGAGCAATTGCGATTGTTTCTGTAACTCGTAAAATGGTCAAGATGGCGCAATATGGGGGAAAAGGTAACATATTGCACTTGTCATATCTTCGAAACGAGTTCGGTGACCCCGACTTTTTTTCTATTCTTACTATGAGCATATCATAAACTTCTCCCCTGGCAAGTTTCAGCAAGCGCTTGTGTTTATGAAGCGATCTTATAACAACAGTTCAATGCATGAACTGTACAAATAGTCTGTACTGATGTGTCGCTCTTTCTCAGGACCCTATGCTGAGCCCTACTTGCTGATCAAATCCAAGTCTGAAATCCACGCCATTGATTTGACAACCCAGGACAGAACTGTCGTCATCGGTGGAATTGCAGGCAGGGCGATGGATATTGACACAGTGGACAACAAATTATACATCGCAGACAGCAACAGCATATCCCGGGTGAACTTGGATGACATATGCGTAGAAGTCATTTTACAGAATGTTCGTGTTCGTGACATCGCAGTCAATTGGTTGGCACGAAGTATTTTCTGGACTGAATATTTAGAAAAGGAGATTTTCGTTGCGGGTTTTGGTGATAAAAAGAAAAGAGTGCTTATGAAAACAACGAGTTACCCGTCCCGTATAGCATTTGATGCAACATTGGAGTAAGTTTTACGATTTGAAGAATATCTTTATGATGTGTTATTTGAAGACGAATCATTGCGAGTCGTGGCGTGGTGGCGGCGGTGGTTAAGCTTTTTTGGCTGAGTCGGACTTCAGTGTGGTTTCTATTCTGTGACGCAGAGAATATGCTTAGCCGATTAAGTCTTTTGAACGACGAATGTATACACACTGTCCATATGGAGTTCTGTAATAAGTTCTTTGTAGGTTTTCATAGCGATAGTAAATATAGGGTTTTTTGTGGAAACAACAATTTATTATTGCCTTCGATGGGTGCCAATAATATATGACTTGTTTCATAACTTCACTTTCATTCCCACGTCGGGATAGTCTATATGGCGCGGGTCGTGAGTCAATAGAAATGGCGCGGGTCCAGCGAAAATGGCGCGGGTAACAAGTTCCGCCATATAGACTATCCCTCGCACGTCCCTTTATATACCAAAAGCGTCGTGATCTGCTTGTTCGCATCATTTTAAAGTTAATTAAACTGTCACAATCAGTGAGTTCACTGGTCACAATCGGCCACGCCATGATTCTCAATGATTCGTCATCTAATAACACATCATAAATATAATCTTCAAGGGACGGTTGTTCAATGAAATGAATCGATGAATCGGTAAAAAATTATACGTTGTCACATCAGCCACGTCGTTCGGCCAAACCCCTTAGAGTTCAATGTTCCAAACGTAGGTTCTAATTAACGCGTGCGCTTTGCAGTGTAAAGTACTAAAGAAAGCCAGCCACGTACTGTCCACTGCATACTTTCCTTCTCAATCTATAGCAGTGGTGTTTTTTATGTTGTGCTTAATTCTAATCTTTTATGATATGACATCTTTATTTTCACACCAAGTCCATTCACAATTACAAATATATGCTCTTCCATGGAGACGTGCATTTAACTAATATAAAATATATAAATATAGGAAAAACTAAACTACTTATAAAAATATGTACATGCAATATATGAATTTACGAGTTGAGAGACATAAACTCACTCAGAGACTGTGCACTGGATATTTGGACGGGTATGTTCCACAAAATTGCACCTCTATAACTAAAACTTTTCTTACGAGATTCTGACAGGGGTCTAGGAACAAAACAATTATGATTTGCCCCACGTAAGTTATGCTCGTGCACTGAAGAAGTGCGGATGAATTTATTGGTTAAATAACTAGGAACCATATTATTGGCCGTCTTATACATTAATTTCTTAAACTGTAGGGCACGCCTATCTTCTAGATTAGTCCAGTTCAATGACCTTAAAATTTCAGATGAGCGAGTGTAATAATCAGAACCAGTAATGATTCGCGCAGCTCTGTTTTGCATTTGTTGGAGCTTTTGCCCTAGACACTTAGCCAGGTTATCCCAAGTAACACTTTATATTGGAATGAAGCGCTTTCATGCAGTACATTTTCCTAGCTTTCAACGGCTGGCGGGGAGGTAGACAACTTGTATGCAGGGTACCCTGATTTGTATCGATGGAAGCAAAACATATTCATTATCCAGCTCGCCGGCACAGTGTGACATTCAATAACATGGTAAACTCATGCATAAAGTCTGTCTCGAATAGTAAAATATGTACATTCCACAATGCGTGTGTTTAGAATCTTTATATTTCATATTGATTACAGAATACCTTTCCTACGCCCAGCCGTTCGGCATTTTCCTAGGAATATATAGTAAGATATAGTTATTTAGTAGCAACATATTTAACAAACAGCCAATCTGAGGAGAAGGAATTATACTAAAAAGAATTCTAAGTTATACCCGTCTTTTAACATTATCGTCTCTCGTTGCTCCATAGGTATTTGTTTTGGACAGAGCCTATTGCAAAGTTTGTACGGCGAATAAGTTTGGTTTCTAATGACATTGTAACGTTGGCAAACCGGAAGTTCTCAAAGTCTTACACTATTACTCTTGATTGCACCAAGAAACGGGTTTACTGGCTCGGGAACGAGATTCAATCCGGCGTTCACCATATTTTTTCAAGTGATTACACTGGCTTGGACCAGAAAAGTATTGTAAGTGGATCATTGAATGATTATTTATTCGGCGTGCTTGGAGATTCACTCTACTACCTGAACAACGATTTATTCTATATAAATGAGATGAATGTATCCAACGGAATTGTATCCCGTACTATTCTGGTGGACAACAATACATATTATGATGACCTGATCGTTGTACATAGCTCGATACAGCCTCGAGAGCGAATGGGTGAGTTATAATCATAATAATATTGATGAGTATCCACTGATTGGCACCACATTATGAAGGTTAAAATGTAATAAATTATATGGTCTGTGAATATTTCGGTCCATGATAATGTGACAGAGCCAATGAACTGAAGGTGAGGCTGCGTATAGGTAAAAAATTAAGACAGTGCCTGCAGCCCTATGATTCCGGTGCGGTGCTCTGACCACTGAGTTACAGAGTCCAGTTGTCATTCCATATGATAGTAAATACAAAGACAAGACAGATTGTGTTTCCATAAAATCATTAAATTGCAACCATTTGTTTGGCTGATCGTCCTCACGTTGCCATCGTCCATGTATAAGCTCTGGTAGTTATGCTTAGATCCAGGAAATCATCTATATTTCCGGTTGTGAAAAGCATTTCTTTAATTGAGCGCATTATGCATGCTGACTATAAAATAATTTCAGTAAAGTCCAGATTCAAGAGATTTCATAATTCCTTTTAATTAAAACATATGGAAATATTTTGACAATTTAAAAAGAATACAGTTGAACCAAAACTCTTCAAGTTAGGTAAATGCGATTATTCATAATATTTTTTTGACTCTACAGAATTTTTCGAGCTAAATTACTTTGAAGTCAAAATATCCGCCATATTGAAACGTCATTGTTGCCATAGCAACGGTATAGTTCGGTAACTTTAGTGCACAAATTCAAACTCTTTAGATTTTGTTTTACATAGGTAAGGCGCTCTTTGTTTTTCAACAGGCAATAATTGTCCAAAACTACAGATCTAAATCGTAAATTTTCCAATTTTTAAAAAACTATCGAGCAGCATCGATCGTCTTCGAACATCTCACAAAAATCGTTCGAAAACCAGATATACGCCATTAATAAAGTGAAGCTATCGAAGTATATCACTGAGCTATACATAGAAGCATATTTGGAGATTAAAGAAAAGCGGAAGACCTCACATGAACAAACCCCTTGTAACAATTGTGTGCGTGCATGGGAATAATATTTTTGAAAAAGCAGGGCATTCCATTGATGTTGATGTAACTTTTCCGTGCGCAGACCATATTTCCCGCAAAAAATGTTTAGAGAAAATTTTTGACTTTATGTTTAAGCTGATTTCTGTCGTGATATTTTAATACATGCATGTATAATTTCTCTTGTAAGCATTAGGGGCGGACCATTTGACTTTTGCCAGTTTAGAGAGTCCAGATTTTAAAAAAGTTCTGAAGAGGATGCAACCCGATCCCCAACAAGGAGTTAAAAATTGGAGGGCAGTTAAAAACTGCATTATTGAAATCTTGTTTTATTACATATTAATCAAAGCTCATTTTGTGATTTTCCCTTGTTTAAAATAAAGGACAGTAAGTGTTCCTTAGGCTTAGTACAGCAAAGTTGTCGTGGACGAATCCATGGCTGAAAACGCAGGAAATAGCATTTCCGAGGTTCAAATTTTAAAATTTTCTCGGGGACATGCCCCCGAACCCGCCAAGGTTACAGTTCATTCATATACTGTACCCCCCCCCCATTTTCGAGTACTCTACTCTGTCCCTGCATGTTTTAGGTTTTGGTGCAATTACACATTTTTTGTAAGTAAACCTGCATGCACGCTTTAGTGTGGGGAACATTAAGACATAACCATATAAAATAAAGCACAGTGAAAATTCCTTGGCCCCTCTTGGGATTCAGTTCTCGGCCTCCTCTGACTGAAAACCCCTGCTACGTCTCTGATGATAGCTATATGAAAGCCTTAAGTTACTGTAAGCCGTTATTATGAGAGGCAAAAAAAATATCCTGCCGCCAAGTATATTGGGAAAAAATATCTTGCGCTGCACTTTTACCGGAAAAAAATATCTGTCTTGTTCGCCTGGGCGGTCCGCCCCTTAGTAAGATTTCACTTTTTTCTTTCACTTTTCTTAAGCCTTTTCTTAAGGTGATTCATCAGTTTTGCATTGCGCACCTTTACTGCGCATATCTAATTAAAGTAATAACAAATTCTCGTTAATATATGTAGTCGAACTGCAATGTAAAGTGATAAAGAAAGAGTAAGGGCAAAGAGTAAAAACACTCTGCATTCATTAGGCGTGCTTCAGGAAATATACCTTCAAAAATGACAGAACTCTGGCTAGGGCTGCCTGTGCAACCACGGTTAATAGAAATTAACTGTGATTCACACAAGGTATGGTAGTTTGCATGAGGGTATACAAATAAATCCCAAGTCGATGAATTTTCAATCTTATTCGCTGGTCAAACGAGAAACTGAGTTATAACATAACATGTATATAACGCGTGCTCTGATTGGTCGAAACCTGTGTTTGGATCAGGCCATCCAAACACGGAAATTTGAAGTGATTTTAAAGTGAAATTTTAACACGGAAAGTTGTTATTTTATAAAACAATTACTTTATGGTTTCCGTGTTTGGATGGCCTGATCCAAACACTAGCTTGGGAATGTTGCACGAGTTAAGAAAGCGCTTAACTCTCGCAACATTCCCGCGTGTTTGGATCAGGCCATCCAAACACGGAAACCATAAAGTAATTGTATATTGCATGACAGTTAATAGTTACCACACGCGTGGCAAAAACTACTCTGGTCGATTCTCATCCAACTTCCTCAAATTAGTTGTGCTTGAGAGTTTGATGACAGTTGGCGTTGAAATGCTAGCGATTGTTGAAACTCAATCATCAAATCTCGTCTTCTGGCAAACGAAGACACCAATAACACTGATTCATGAGGCCGATGAAAATGGAAATTTTCAGTATATCCACATGAGACCGATATAAATATCACAAATCTTTCAATTTATTCCACTCGCCCCCCTTTTTCCTTTTTACAGTACTTTTGTGAGTATGCAAGAGCACAGCCGAGACCGGTCTGAAATGTATTTGTGTTTACATACATCCAGCCCCGAATTCATCCTGGTCTGAAGATAGTCGGTTCGGTCTAGCGAGCGGGATGACTTCAGAACGGTCTGAGCAATTTTTCGTTCCGGTATCATGAAAACAACTGTTATAAATAATATCGTCTGGAGTTACTAGTTAAGTTCCTTCGCTCGAAACGTCGAAATTCTCCTTATATTTTTCAGGTGGTTGCATCCCTACCAATGAAAGTTTGTTCATATTATTAACACTACCTACATTGACACAGACTATTCAAGATTATAAATAATACTCTGACCGAAATGAAATCGTCCCAGTTAGACTTGTTCCCGGTCTCATGTAACAATTTGTATACTAATATAAATTATTCTAATTTAATCAGTAGTATTGCACATGTGCTCTAATGTTGGCAGGTGATGAATGGCCAAGTGGTAGTTATGGTCTTCCTAGATCTAAATCAGGATGTCCAGGTGGTAAGGAGAATGGGTGGCGTGAGGGCTGGAGGTTGCAGGAAATGGAAAACAGTGGTAAGAGTAGCAGTGAGCGGTCAAGAGTATCTAGTGGCTCACATATGGATGTCACATTAGTTGGAAATAAAAAAGATGTAAACAGGACATTCTGCATGAAACAAAATACTGGAACACAAACAAGGTTTTGGCCTAAAGGTAAGGTTCTCTATATGCATACATGGACTACCTTATGATACAGCCATGCATATGTTACAGTATGAACTCCAGGGATTCTGCAAGAGACATTTCGATACAAATGGATGACTGAATGGCATGGAGGAGAACAGAACAATGGGATTTTCAAAACAATGAAAACACAATGTCATTGAAACTTTCCGACCACCCTGGGCTGTGATCTGACAAATTTTCGTATGCTCTTGCTAAGTGTTCTTTACAGAATATCATCATAACTAAAGCTTCACAATATTCACTGCAGTCGTTACTGTCAAAAAATGAACAAAACCTCTAGCCCTCATGCTACCAGAATGATGCATGCCGTTCCTCATGTCTTCAGAATAATTTTATAATAATATCTCCATTCCTCATGCCATCAGAATAATTCTATAATATCTCCATTCCTCATGCCGTCAGAATGTGTTTTTTTTAAATCAAAATGATTTCTTTATGTTGTATACGTTTTTTGAATGATTTCCCCTTGAAATGTATTTTTGTTTTGACAGGTTCATATTGTATTTACAAGAATGGAACGTGTCCGAAAGATATGGCATCAGGCTGGGTGGAATGGGATGATGAAGATAATGACAACGGAAATAGTCACGGAGGATTTCTACCAGATGGTTCATATGATCATAATACCCTGATATATTATTGTTGTCAAACTGATGGTCACTGGTATGATTCCATTGAACTGCCAGTCAGTCAACCATTTTATTTATTAACATCTAACTCTACTGACACTCCTAAATGTCAGATGGTGAAGTGGGCATTTAGTTACTTGGAGTATATTGTGTTTGATACAGAAGATGACAGGAATAGAGATGCCCAGGGTGGGGAACATTTGTTTTCAGATGGAGATAAGAAATACTATTGTTACTATGAAGGTACGTTAATATAACTCAGTTCGTTGTACCAACTGAACATTCAAATAACGCTTTCTACACAATTAGGAAAAAAATTACATTTGAATCTTTTAGAAGAAAGATTTACATGTAAAATGTACACTTGACTTCAAAGTATTCAATTGTTTAATAATCTTTTATGACATTTACTAACAATTTAAACACTGTCTGTATTGATTATGCATGCATGCACTTTTACAGCCCGATAATTGTCTAGTATCAACTCAGGTTGAAATTCTTTGGCTCTAGTCGAGCAGATAGAAGGAAAAAACTTATCATAGCGTTGGACAATTCCGTTTTGCCTTCTTATTGTGCCCTGAAGGCTAATAAGTACGTTTCTGTATGTTGGCCGCGTTAAAATTTCTTGTTGGCTCCTGCCGACACGTTTTTCTTCTAATTTTGTATTAAACTCTATTACAGTTAAAAAATGTGAAATTTCAAATACATTTCTAACACAAATGACTTGCATCATTTGAAAGCTTGCAAAAAACTACATTTAAGACATTTATTACCCGGATTTTCAAGTTCTTCTTGAGTTATGAGCTGTTGAAGGCAATGCTGTATGGTGTCCCCCAAGGAAGTATTCTAGGACCTTTATTGTTTATAATGTTTATCAATGATCTTCCACTATATGCCAATTCCAACACAGACATGTATGCTGATGATTCGACAATCCATACAAGTGCTAGAACAGTTGAGGAACTCAATAATAAATTAACTGAGGATATGACAAACGTTCAAGCTTGGTGTACTAACAACAACATGGTAATAAATGACGGTAAAACGAAGGCAATGTTGATAACAACATCTCAGCGCGCAGCCACATTAAATTCAAGTCTACGAGTAGAATTTAACGGTGTCCAGTTAAAGAATACCAACAATGAGAAAATACTTGGGGTTGTTATGAATGAACATCTTTCCTGGAAACAGCAGATTGACAAAGTAGCAAAATCTCTAAAAAAAGGAATTCATCTTCTGAGACAGATCAAAGAGTATTTGCCTATTGGTCACCGAGTAATTTACTACAAGTGTTTCTTACAACCTCACATAGATTATTGCTGTACAGTTTGGGGACAATCATGTCATATTATTCGCATACATAAACTCCAAAAGTTAGCTCTGAGAATTATATACGACAAACCGAAGCTAACCTCTTCTGGGCCACTATTTAAAGCTGCTGGAGTCCTGCCTATACAGCAAAGAGTAATGCTACGAACAGCAATAATGGTATATCAATCATTAAACAACTGGGTACCCAAGTACATAAGTGACTTGTTTGTCTTAAAGTCATCAGTGACAAAACGAATTACAAGAAGCTCAGAGAACAACGAACTGTGGATACCGCGAACGAAACTAACAATTAGGCACAAAACGTTGAAATTCAGTGGTGCAACATTATATAACAGTTTACCACGTGCGACCAGACAATCAACGTCATTAAGCTCCTTTAAAATAAGAGCCTATAAATACTTTTTAGATACTTATATATAAGTTATTTGTTTGTACGACTTTTATATGTGCTTGTTGTACTGATGTCCAATTTAATGTGTAGTTTTAATAGTAAATTTGTAATAAGTAGACGATAACAGTTGAACAGAAGGCCCAGTGTAAGATTAGCGTTGCTAAACTGGTTTTTGTATAATTGCACCTTCTTTAAATAACGTTTATTATTATTATTATTATGTTGAAAGCGTGTTTTCAGACTAGTACCCTGGGGCCGGTTGTGAAAACTCTTAATCACTTTCCTCTCACTATTTTGTAGTTAAATAGTGATTAACTCTCAATTCTCAAATACGCGCTTCTTATTGGATGACGTTTCCACTAACTATAGTTAACTTTAATCACTTTTTTATACAACTGGCCCCAGGATTTTGGCGAGATTTTGGCTTCCATAATTTTGATCCTCTATCTGCCTGTCTGCTCTGAGATTATGAAATAAATTTGAGTCCGAACAATGAATGATGGCATGGAGAACAGTGGGATTTTCAAAACAATGAAAAGACGATGGAAGTATGGAACATTGCAATTATTGGATCATACTTTACTGGACAGTACTATAATATTATGATAAATGATACACGCAAACTGCCTGGATTTTAGCTTTGATTTTTAAGATCGTTTAATTCTATTTCAGAGTGCCGCCGTACAATGACTGGTCTTAGTGGTTCATTTAGATCACATAAGGCTGCAGTTAGTGAGATGGATCCACGCTCACAATATTGTTCCTGGTTAATTACGCTTGCTGAAATATACAACGTGTCATTGAGTTTTAAAGAGCTGACCATACCAAGTTGTAATGATACATTTCTACGAATATACGATGGTTCAAATGGTGCTGCTCCATTGCTTGGCACATATTGCGGTTCAAACGCAAGTACAGAAGTCGTGATTTTATCATCCACAAATAATTTATACATCGTGTCAAATTCTGGAAGTTATGCAAGAAATCCTAAAAATACTTTTTCTTTGTACGCCCAGTATCAAGCTAAGAATTTCGCAGGTTGGTATAGTTAACTGTACTTGTAATAAATTAAAATATAAAACAAAAAATTAACCCAATATATGGCATTATGGACTAAAAGCAAGTAAATTTTAAATGCACGTAAATTTTAAATGTACGTAAATTTTAAATGTACGTAAATTTTAAACGGCTATATTTCGATCCTATTAGTCTATTACAGAATCATGATCAGACCAATAGTTTGGTTTTCAAGCAATTTTCGTCCAATGAAAACATCTATTATAAATAATATTCTGACCAAAATGAAATCGTCTCGGTTTGACTTCGTCCCCAACTCATGCACTATATAGATCAGTTGTCTCATGTGATAATTGGGATATTTATAGATGATTGGAAAAAAGCACGAGTAAGTCCAATTTATAAGGAGGGAAGTCGTCGTAATATGGGAAATTACAGAACAATTTCTATATTAATGGATTGGATTGTACAATAACTGGATAGGAAACTTCCTGACGTCATTGACCTCATCCTTGTTGAAAAACGTGACGTCATGCGTATTGCGAATATTACCAAAGTTCTCGGCATTTTTGTTGTTTTGCTATATTTTCCACTTTAAAAGGGTGATATTGAAGCATAAACTGGTCTAATTATTTTAAAAACATGCCTAAGCAACGACGAAGTATTCAAGGTAAATGTTTTTCGTCTTTCTTTTGTATTTTTTTACTTAGCTACAAAGCTACGAAATTGGCGTCACAAATTTTAACGAAATTTGCGATGTATTTTACACTGTTTATAGTGCTTGAAGTATTTGCTAAAATTGACTGGGAATACTTAGAGAATAAGAATACTCGTAGAATCGCGTGGTTATATTTATTTGCTCTTTGACTAAGATGTTTAGCTGTATTATTGCTAAACATGCCGTTTTTGAGAATTTGGTTTTCAACTAGGTTTGAACATCCAACCACACCATCAGCCCATTGAAAACATTAGGTCACGTCGGCTAGTTTCCTATCCATTTATTTTATTATCCATGCCAATATTAAGCAAAGTATTTGAAAAATTAAGTTTTTCGACAAATTTATCAATGTTATAATGTAAATTTACTTTTATCGAAATTTCAATCTGGTTTTCGCCCAGGTTATTCCACTTTATCTGCTCTAATCCAAATGTGTGATAATTGGTTTGAAAATATGGAGAACGGAAAACTGACTGGTGTTGTCTTTTTAGATATTCGCAAAGCATTTGATTCTATTGATCATGAGATTCTTCTTGAGAAACTGAAATTTTATGGAATTACTGGGGTGGAACATGATTGGTTCGAATCATATCTAACTTCTCGAAACCAACAAACTTTTGTAAATGGTTTTCTTTGAACGAAAAAAGAAATATTATGTGGAATACCTCAAGGGTCAATTCTAGGCCCCTTGTTGTTTTTAATTTATATCAATGATCTACCAAATTGTCTTGAATCCACAGTTCCATGTTTATATGCAGACGATACACAAATATTTGCCTCTTCTCACGATACTGAAGATCTTATCGATAAATTAAATTCTGACTTAGTTAATATAATGGACTAGTTAACCGTAAATAAACTGCAGTCACATGCGAAAAAAACACAGTTCATGCTAATAGGAACCGCACATAATTTGAGCGCTAAAGGCAATGAAGTAACTAATAGTCTTATGAATAATAGTATTATTGAATCGGTTCTTTCCCAAAAGTTCTAGGGGTTGACGTTGACAATAGGTTGATATTTGATATTCACATTAAGAATTTATGCAAAAATATATGTTCGGGAATTGATGCCTTAATTAAGAAGAATTAAACCCTTTGTTCCATTGCGTTCCTTAAAGATGTTATACAAAGCACGGATTCAGCCATATTTTGATTATTGCTCCCCTTTGTGGGATACATGCATGCGGGAAGATGCATAAAGATAAATTACAGGTGCTCCAAAATAGAGCGGCGCGAGTTATAACAGGAGCACTTTTCACATTTCTGGAGTACTTTTACTTGGAACGAAGTCGTTTTAAGAAGTGACGTTTTGCTTCGTTATTATTATTTTGTGGCGAAGTATTTCGTTACTTTCTAACTTTTGTTTAATTTTACGTGATTTATTCCTGATTTATTTTAATTTTGGGACCCGTAATGGATATCTTATATCTTCAACGGGGTCTGGAAAGTAGACCATGCCGTGAAATATTGTATATTATGGTGCACGCATATAGTGTGTGTGCTGTTTTGGGTCTTTTGTATGTCAATCCATTGGAGAAGTCTCCCCCCCCCTAGACGCTATAGACAATAGTACTTTTACTTTTTACTTCAAGTATTTTTTAAGGATACTTTGTACTTTTTACTTAAGTACGTTTTTCCTCCAGTACTTTTTACTCTTACTCAAGTCGTTTTATTGTTAACTACTTCTACTTTTACTTCTACTCGAGTACAAATTCCAAGTAATTTAGGCACCACTGAACAACACTGAACAGGAGCAAGATTTGATGTCAACTCGGCAAATGTACTGCAGGATCTGCAATGGTCCACGTTCAATGTAAGACGTCATAGGCTGAAGAGCGTTTTGATGTACAAAATTCTTAATGAGCAGTCCGCTCCAAGTCTTACGAGAAAAATTTATAAAAATGAAAGATCTTAATAGAGAATATAATCTTCGAAGTAATGATACTGATCTAGCACTTCTAAAACCTAAAACAAACTATCTTAAACGAAGTTTTAAGTACAGTGCCAGTGGTGCAATGCTGTGGAATAGTTTTCTTTCTGAGGCGAAAAAGGCATCCTCGCTTTACCAATTTAAACGCAGTATGTCCACTATACCGGAGACTAGAATGTGAGTTAAGATAGTTTGTAAGTTTAACACGCCCCATCTGAAAATCAACTCTATGTATTTTTACTAATATGTTGTGTATGTCAGCGTGGTTAAAAAAATCTTTTGAGTAAGTAAGTATAACTTATATACTAATATAAATTAAAAACACATGTTATAAATAGTATCGTCTGGAGTTACTAGTTAAGGGCCTTCGCTCGAAACGTCGAAATTCTCCTTATATTTTTCAGGTAGTTGCATCACTACCAACGAAAGCTTGTTTATATTATTGACACTACCTACACTGACACAGACACTTCAAGATTATAAATAATACTCTGACCAAAATGAAATCGTCCCAGTTTGACTTGTGCCCGGTCTCATGTAACAATTTGTATACCAATATAAATTATTCTAATTTAATCAGTAGTATTCAGTGGTAGTATTGCATAAGCCATGCTCTAATGTTTGCAGGTGATGAATGGCCAAGTGGTAGTTATGGTCTTCCTAAACCTAATTCAGGATGTCCAGGTGGTAGGAAGAATGGGTGGTATGAGGGATGGAGGTTTCAGGATATGGAATACGACTATAAGAGTGCCAGTGAGCGATCAAGAGTATCTAATGGGTCACATATGGATGTCACATTAGTTGGAGATAAAAAAGATGTAAACAGGAAATTCTGCATGAAACAAAATACTGGAACACAAACAAGGTTTTGGCCTAAAGGTAAGGTTCTCTATATGCATACACTGACTACCTATGTCACAGCCATGCATATGTTACAGTATGAACTCCAGGGATTGTGCAAGAGGCATTTCGATGCAAATTGGGTGACTGAATGACATGGAGAAGAACAGAACAATGGGATTTTCAAAACAATGAAAACACAATGTCATTGAAACTTTTCGATCACGCTGGATTGTGATTTGATGGCACAATTCTTATGCTAAGTGTTCTTTACAGAATCTAAACTAAAGCCTCACAATATTCGCTGCAGTCGTTGCTCTCAAAAAATGAACAAAACCTCCAGCCCTCATGGCACCAGACTGATGCATGCCGTTCCTCATGCCTTCAGAATAATTTTATAATAGAAAATTTAAGCTTCACGTTTCCGTGAACGGCAAACGGCGGGTTGGAACTTTCTTGGCAAAATTTTCGTTCAACGTTTTCGTTTCATATTTTCTTCCTTGCGTCGAAAGGATAATTATGTATTTCAGTTTTAAAACAGCAAGTTCACTTACTCTTTACTGTCTGATACTGTGAACGTTTTCTTTGCCTGGCGTTTGCCGTTTGACGTATAACGCGAAGCTTAGACTTTGTAATATCTTCATTCCTCATGCCATCAGAATGATTTTTTTTAATCAGCATGATCTCTTTATGTTGTATACGTTTTTTGAATGATTTCCCCTCGAAATGTATTTTTGTTTTGACAGGTTCATATTGTATTTACAAGAGTGGAACGTGTCCGAAAGATATGGCATCAGGCTGGGTGCACTGGGATGATGAAGATAATGGGAACATCAATAAATACGGAGGATTTCTACCAGATGGTGTATATGATAAAAAAGATACCAGGATAGAGTATTGTTGTCAAACTGATGGTAACTGGTATGATTCAATTGAACTGCCAGTCAGTCAACCATTTCATTTATTAACATCTAGTTCTACTGGCACTCCTAAATGTCAGATGGTGAAGTGGACATTTAGTTACTTGGAGTATATTGTGTTTGATACAGAAGATAGCATTAATTTAGATGACCAGAGAGGAGAACATTTGTTTTTGGATGGAGACAAGAAATACTATTGTTACTATGAAGGTACATTAATATAACTCAGTTCGTAGTACCAACTGAACATTCAAATAATAACGCTTTCTACAATCAGGAAAGAAATTGCATTTGAATCTTATAACATGTATGCCTGTACGGTAGCTAAGGATGGAAAATTTAAAATGTACATTTCAAAGTATCCAACAGTTTAATTATCTTTTATGACATTTACTAACAATTTAAACACTGTCTGTTTTGATTATGTATGCACTTTTGGGAAAGAGCTCAAATTTCAGCCCGATAATTGTCTAGTATCAACTCAGGTTGAAATTCTTTGGCTGTAGTCGGGCAGATAGAAGGAAAAAACTTACCACAGCGTGGGACAATTCCATTTTGCCTTCTTATTGTGCCCTGAAGGCTAATAAGTACGTTTCTGTATGTTGGCGGCGTTAAAATTTCTTGTTGGCTCCTGCCGACACGTTTTTCTTCGAATTTTGTATTAAACTCTATTAGAGTTAAGAAATGTGAAATTTCAAATACATTTCTAACACAAATGACTTGCATCATTTGAAAGCTTGCAAAAAACTACATTTAAGATATTTAAACGGTTACCTGGGATTTTCAAGTTCTTCTTGAGTTATGAGCTGTTGAAGGCAATGTTGAAGGCGTGTTTTCAGACTAGTATACCCTGGGGCCGGTTGTGAAAACTCGTAATCACTTTCCTTTCACTATTTTGTAGTTAAATAGTGATTAACTCTCAATTCTCAAATACGCGCTTCTTATTGGATGACGTTTCCACTAACTATAGTTAACTTTAATCACTTTTTTATACAACTGGCCCCAGGATTTTGACGAGATTTTGGCTTCCATAATTTTGATCCTCTATCTGCCTGACTGCTCTGAGATTATGAAATAAATTTGAGTCCGAACAATGAATGATGGCATGGAGAACAGTGGGATTTTCAAAACAATGGAAAGACGATGGAAGTATGGAACATTGCAATTATTGGATCATATTTTACCGGACAGTACTATAATATTATGATAAATGACACAAGCAAACTGCCTGGATTTTAGCTTTGATTTTTAAGATCCTTTAATTCTATTTCAGAGTGCCGCCGTACAATGACTGGTCTTTGTGGTTCATTTAGATCACATAAGGCTGCAGTTAGTGACATGGATCCACGCTCGCAATATTGTTCCTGGTTAATTACGCTTGCTGAAATATACAACGTGTCATTGAGCTTTAAAGAGCTGATCATACCAAGTTGTAAAGATACATTTCTAAGAATATATGATGGTTCAAATGGTGCTGCTCCATTGCTTGGCACATATTGCGGTTCAAATGCAAGCACAGAAATCGTGGTTTTATCATCCACGAATAATCTGTACATCGTGTCAAATTCTGGAAGTTATGCAAGAAATCCTAAAAATATTTTTACTTTTCATGCACAATATAATGCTACGAATTTAGCAGGTTGGTATAAAGGAAATTTGGATAACGGGTTCCTTACATACAGAGTGATATTATCTCACCACCGTTTCCAGTAGGTAAACCGATATACAGGGTGTATCAAAAAAAGCGCAATCCTCGACTGAAATGTAAATTGCTAAACAAATAATAGACGAAAACGTTAAAGTTTACATTCATTTTAAAGCGTAGCCATTCAGCTTTCTAACAGTGGGTTGTTTCTTAAATTTGACTCATTGGTTCGCGGGTAATAATACTTTACGTTATTGCGATTGGAGATTAAAAAAATTGGGATGGAATAACAAATCGTTCTCATGATTTTTTCATTAAAACAAACAAATGTTGCATTTTATTAAATGGATTGTAACAATAAGTATAATTACGGCTTTTCTTCCACTATTTTTAACTCAGTTTGAAACTTCAAATGCGATATAATTTTGGCTTGGACCATCTAAGCTGACTGACATCAACTTGCTATAATTTCTGCTTACATTACATCGCAATTCGATGACATTGTGGCTCAGACACCAGAATGTTTTGACGATTTTTAGCATTCGTTTAGGATTTTCAAACAACCTGGTCTCTTTAAAATACTTTTAATTTGTTCTTACGTGGTTTTCCAGATGTAGTGACGACAACATTAAAGTTTAAAGAAGAAAATTCTAACATTTAAACCGACTAAACAATAACATAGTAAACTTGCATAATTAAACAGCAACTAAAAATGATAGGTTTTACTAAATCTTTTCCTGTGCAATTATTACTATAGCATTGGAGACAAGGATAATAGTTTGTTTGAAAGAGAAAAGAACAGGCTTTGAAGTAAGCCTAAAAGCGTTTAACTAGAAATAGTATTTCGAAAGTTATTAAGCACAAAAGATGAATTGCGTTTATTTTGATACACCCTGTATAGTAGGTGGGTAGTAGATTTTCGATCGAATAGAGTAGTGAAAATGGGGTCGTTGCTCGTCATTTAGTTGGTGACAGGTCTATATAAGTTATACTAGTATTTTTATGATTGTAGAAATTCAACCTAGTGAGCGGCCTTCAGTGGAAAATGTTTATTTTAGTTTATTTAGCTTTGCCAACTAGGGCAGGGTCACCACAACAGCATATGCCAATTACTGTGGGCCCTTTTACCTAACCCACCCTGTCAACTTTACCTGTGGGAGGAAACCGGAGTACCCGGGGAAAACCCACGACTTTCGGCAGATCGTTGGCTTTTTTACACTTTTCACATGAGGACTGCGTTCTAGTGGCATTGAGAAAGTTCTCGTTGAGGCTTGAACGTGCGGCCTCAGAGGTGAAAGGCAAGTGCGCTAACCACTTCGCCACCGAAGCCCCGAAAATTCTATTACACCTGCCATTTCACCATCATGTTGCTCTGAAGGCAAGTGAGGTTTTGCTTAAATTACATTGAGATGTATTGTAGGAAGTTCTTCTTGATCTGTTGGCAGTGTCACGTTAATTTAGTTGCCTTAACATTTTGAGTTGGTTAATAGAAATCACTCTAATGTTTTCTTATATTTATTCAGTCAAGGAAAAAACAGTCAAGGAAAAAACAGGCAGCACAATCATTATCATAGCAGCAACAGTGGGTGGCGTCGTATTCCTTTGCATCGTGCTTGTTGTCTTATTGATAACATACAAACAACGAAAGCGAGCTCCAAAATTATCAACTCCTGTCAATATTCCACTGACAGACGCAACTCCACAACAATCATTGCCAATTGATCAGGTAAATTATTTACGAATTAATGTTTAGTTTAAAACTGATAGAGCTATCCAGTATAAATAAAGTTAGTTTAGTTTAGGTTTCCTCCTGTAGTAACACTGGATCAATAAGAGATGATTCTTACTGGACCTCTAGGAAGAACAGTTTAGAACTGATAGAGCTATCCAGTATAAATAAAGTTAGTTTAGTTTAGGTTTCCTCCTGTAGTAACACTGGATCAATAAGAGATGATTCTTACTGGACCTATAGGAAGAACAGTTTAGAACTGATAGAGCTATCCAGTATAATTAACAATTAGACAACGAGGCCGAGTTGTCTATGAGCGAATAGTCAACGAGGCGAAGCCGAGTTGACTATTTGCTCATAGACAACGAAGCCGAGTTGTCTAATTGTTTTAGTATAAACTTTAACATTAATTTACAACTAGGCTGCAAACACAATACAAAAATACACAAAAAACATTATAAAACCAGTTAAAGGTAAACAAATATTTTAGTTTTTGTTCGTGTAAAATGTTTTACAAAATTCAGTTTTAATTTTAAAATTTCATTGAGTGTATGTTATTTTGTCTATTTTCTAACCCTTAAAAATTGCCATTCCATATTTTTGTTGCTTTTTTTCGGGGTTATTTAGTACAGAATTGTTCAACAAGTCGTCCAAAAAATCATCAGACACTTCGGCAAAAGTGCAAAACGCGAATTTTCCGCCATTTTGAATTTTCTATTAGTAGGCTATCACTAATAGCCTACTAGTAGCGTAGCCAATCAGAAGCCACGATATGTGATAGCCTATTAGTAGGTTTATACTAAATAAAGATAGTTCAGTTTAGTTTTACTTCTGTAGTAACATTAGGCAAATAAGTGCTGGACTTCCCTTCGAAAACAGTTAAAAACTAATAGAGCCACCAAAAATCTATTCCTAGCCTTAGGCCTTAGTTTTTTAATCTTGGGTGAACTGGGCAAACGCAACACGTGTAATCGACATTAAAAAGTCATCATTATCGTCAAAACAGGAGCCAAGTTGCGAAACTGTTGCAGGAGTTGATCAAGAGTTTGACGACGGCGTCGCCCCAAAAGCAAAGGAGTCTGAAGACATACCAGGTGAAGGTAATATGTTCAAAATTCCACTAACCTTGCTATGTGTAATACTTTGGTTATTCTGAGAAGAAATGTAATATATCTTGAGTTAACTGAAATAAATTTTTCACTGTAGAGGTTGCAACTCTCCGCGTTTGACGACCAACTATTCAGACAACTTCAAATGAGAGTTGATGAAAAACCCCTGAAAGCACGGCGTTTTAATGTGGTTAAACGTAGATTTAAGCGAAGTTAACGGCAGATGTATCATGCCTGCGATCTAGCAGCGGGGAATCCCTGACGTCACTTAGAACAGTTGCAATTCTCGCGCATCTATCACTTCGCTACAGCTTGGCTAGCCAGCAACAACTGCTCTTTCGCTCTGTTCCCCTTTCCCCACCCTGATATTGTTTGTTGATGTTCGGGTTCAGTTTTGTATTTTTGTTTTAGTGGTTTGTTTGGTGGGTTTTTTTTTGTTGTTTTTTCGTTTATAGGATACAATCTATAGACTACTATAGAATGCGTCCTTTTTCCACTGATCATCAGTGTCAGCCTCGTCCCCAGGCTGATTTGCTGCGCCGTTTCGTGAGATAATGGAAACCACTGCAAACCACTGCGCAATTGCGTCGAAACTCGCGCGTCTGAGTTGGAGCCTGGGGACGAGGCTGCATCAGTGTGACAGGTACCGGAGGTCTGCCTTTGCAGAATTGTCATGGCAAACTCCTATTGCTACTATAATTAGCCTTATTACGTTTTATGCTGTTTTGCCATAGCTGTTTGCCATTGCTGTTTGCCAGTTTGCCATTGCTGTTTGCCAGTGTTTTGCCTAATGTTTTCCATTGCGGTCATTTGACTGACAAGGTTAGATCGCCGAATACTCTGCTGTTAACAGCACCCTGATGAGAGCATTTGCTATGCCCACATAAGAATTACACAGAAGAGTTGAGAAAAATCGCATGCAAACTCTCGCTATAATAGGGACGGGTCATGATATTTATTTATACAATGATTTATTGATACAATGATTTATTTAGGTAACGAAACTGTCGCAAGTGTTAATCGAGACTTTTACGATGACGTCGCCCCAGAAGCAAAGGAGTCTGAAGACATATCAGCTGAAGGTAATATGTTCAAAATTCCACTAACCTTCCTATGGGTAATACTTCGGTCATTCTGAGAAGAAATATAATATATCTTGAGTTAAACTGAAAGTCATCTTGATAATTTTCACTGTAGAACGAATGAAGGTTCCAACTCTCACCCGCGTTTGACCATCAACTTTTCAACTTCCAAATGAGAATTGTTGAGAACAGGGGGCTCTAAAACACAGCGTTTTACAGCGCCTTGATGAGAGCTTTTGCTACGCGCGCTAATTATACACAAGAGTTGAGAAAAATCCCATGCAAACTCTCGCTATATGAGGGACGGATCATGCAGTCTTAAACCTTGGTCAAAGAAGAATGAGAGTCGAGAAGCGAGAGTTTGCATGAGAGTTGATGAGAGTTGAGAAGCGAGAGTTTGCATGAGAGTTGATGAGAGTTGAGAAGTGAGAGTTTGCATGAGAGTTGATGAATGTTGATGAGAGTAGAGAAGCGAGAGTTTGCATGAGAGTTGATGAGAGTAGAGAAGTGAGAGTTTACATGAGAGTTGATGAGAGTTGAGAAGCTAGAGTTTGCATGAGAGTTGATGAGATTTGAGAAGTGAGAGTTTGCATGAAAGTTGATGAGAGTTGAGAAGAGAGAGTTTACATGAGAGTTGATGAGAGTTGAGAAGTGAGAGTTTGCATGAGAGTTGATGAGAGTAGAGAAGCGAGAGTTTGCATGAGAGTTGATCAGAGTTGAGAAGAGAGAGTTTACATGAGAGTTGATGAGAGTTGAGAAGTGAGAGTTTGCATGAGAGTTGATGAGAGTAGAGAAGCGAGAGTTTGCATGAGAGTTGATCAGAGTTGAGAAGAGAGAGTTTACATGAGAGTTGATGAGAGTTGAGAAGTGAGAGTTTGCATGAGAGTTGATGAGAGTAGAGAAGCGAGAGTTTGCATGAGAGTTGATCAGAGTTGAGAAGAGAGAGTTTACATGAGAGTTGATGAGAGTTGAGAAGTGAGAGTTTGCATGAGAGTTGATGAGAGTAGAGAAGCGAGAGTTTGCATGAGAGTTGATCAGAGTTGAGAAGAGAGAGTTTACATGAGAGTTGATGAGAGTTGAGAAGTGAGAGTTTGCATGAGAGTTGATGAGAGTAGAGAAGCGAGAGTTTGCATGAGAGTTGATCAGAGTTGAGAAGAGAGAGTTTACATGAGAGTTGATGAGAGTTGAGAAGTGAGAGTTTGCATGAGAGTTGATGAGAGTAGAGAAGCGAGAGTTTGCATGAGAGTTGATCAGAGTTGAGAAGAGAGAGTTTACATGAGAGTTGATGAGAGTTGAGAAGTGAGAGTTTGCATGAGAGTTGATGAGAGTAGAGAAGCGAGAGTTTGCATGAGAGTTGATCAGAGTTGAGAAGAGAGAGTTTACATGAGAGTTGATGAGAGTTGAGAAGTGAGAGTTTGCATGAGAGTTGATGAGAGTAGAGAAGCGAGAGTTTGCATGAGAGTTGATGAGAGTAGAGAAGTGAGAGTTTACATGAGAGTTGATGAGAGTTGAGAAGCGAGAGTTTGCATGAGAGTTGATGAGATTTGAGAAGTGAGAGTTTGCATGAAAGTTGATGAGAGTTGAGAAGCGAGAGTTTGCATGAGAGTTGATGAGAGTTAACAAGCGAGGTTTTGCATGAAAGTTTTCTGAACTCTCGCTTCTCAACTCTCATTCTCGTTTGATCGCGGCGGATCGCGGCGATCAAACGATCCGATCAAACGCCGCGATCGTTTGATCGCGGCGGTTTATTAGGGACGGATCACGCAGTCTTAAGCCTTCATCTGACGAGAATGAGAGCCGAGAAGCGAGAGTTTGCATCAGAGTTCATGAGAGTTGAGAAGCGAGAGTTTGCATGAGAGTTGATGAGAGTTGACAAGCGAGAGTTTGCATGAGAGTTGATGAGAATTGAGAAGTGAGAGTTGACATGAGAGTTGATGAGAGTTGAGAAGCGAGAGTTTGCATGAGAGTTGATGAGAGCTGAGAAGTGAGAGTTTACATGAGAGTTGATGAAAGTTGAGAAGTAAGAGTTTGCATGAGAGTTGATGAGAGTTGATGAGAGTTGAGAAGTGAGAGTTTGCATGAGAGTTGAGAAGCGAGAGTTTGCATGAGAGTTGATGAGAGTTGAGAAGTGAGAGTTTGCATGAGAGTTGATGAGAGTTGAGAAACGAGAGTTTGCATGAGAGTTGATGAGATTTGAGAAGTGAAAGTTTGCATGAGAGTTGATGAGAGTTGAGAAGCGAGAGTTTACATGAGAGTTGATGAGAGTTAACAAGCGAGATTTTGCATGAAAGTTTTCTGAACTCTCGCTTCTCAATTCTCATTCTCGTTTGATCGCGGCATTATCATATCTTCTTTTGTTTCTAAAGGCAACACATCAGATTACGAAGAGGTTGGAGGGCCATCAAGTGTAGACAAGACTTCTGGGTTCGAAACACCAGGCCAAAATAAAACCTATGAAGAGCCCGAATTATCGCCAGAAAATCCTGTTTATACTGAGCTTGATGAGAACCGAATCCACGGCAGAAATACAACGGAAGGCAGTACCTATCAGAAACTAGTAAAGCAAGATTCAGATTATGTTATACCAGCTCACGAAAGAGGAGAGTCGTACGAAGACATCAAAATGGGAAGAAACTTACCAGACGACACGGAGCTGGATCAAAGGAAACGCGAAGTTGATGATTACCAAAAGTTGGTGAAAACCTGAACTTGTTGAAGGTCGCGCGCATGGTGTGCACCACTGCACTTAAAGGAAAGTTGACAATAAAAATTAAGTTTGTCTCATTTTAACGAACTTTTAAAACGATATAATTACGAAATCCCTCTACAATTAATTTCTATCTTTGTTTAGTTTTAGAAATATTTTGACCAGAAACAGTATTCCGCTATCTTGTTTTTATTTTTGACCTAATTTAAGGACGGACCATTAGAAAAGTGATTGGGTGGTCCATTTCCAACGTGTACGATTATTTTTTAAAAACATTTTGCTTGTGTCTATTATTTTTTTTGTAATATTCCCTTGCTCGAATTTTTTTTTTCCAAAAACTGTTGGTTCTTAATCTGAAACGCTTTTTTTTGCACCAATATCTGCTACATTTAGGTTTAGAAAAATTTTGTCACATCATTACTTATATCAAAAAAAACGTTCCAAATTATTTTTCTTTTATTTTCCAAATTTGGGGGCCACCCTTACACTGTACCTCTGATAGGCCCTGTCAACTTATAATTTTCCGTATTGAAAAGTCATATTTTTTTTTTGGTGCACGAATTTTTTTTTCTGTTTCCCCTGCTGGGATTTTTATTTTGCTTTTGCCCCAACCCCTCCCCCCATCACTTTTCTAATGGTCCGCCCCTAATGCAGTTCTGGTGACTTTCAAACTAAGAGGAGAATCCTTTGTATGTAACGTCGTAACCGACGCGCTCAAAACTAACGTATTTACTTTCCCACTTGGCCAAGCCTGCCACTTGGTTATGACCATATTAAATTTTTATAATTTTTGATGTGGCAAACAAACGGCAAACAAACATAAAAAGTATGTTTAGTGCTTTATCTGTAAAATTATGCTATAAAATGTTGAGATTTTAGAAGGTATACTCCAAGGGGAAAATGATGTCTGAGTTTCAGCAAATTTTGCTTATATTGCTGTATAAATATGGCGTCAATTTTTACAGCATCAATGACAATTGTATTTAAATTGACAATATTTAATTATTTATTATATTTTGTGTTTCTCAACCGCCAGATACATTTAAAAAGGTTGCTAGTCGTGTAAACTACAAAATAAAGCTAAAACAAAGTGATTTTAAGAGCAACGCCAAAAAGATTTTAGGTTTTGATAATTTCCGTCTGTATACAGTAGTCATGCAATACCCTTCAAATTTGTTAGTTTCAAAGTATTAAATAAAAGGTTGCTGCAGGTTTATAACTTTATTACAATAGACAATTTCCATTATAGACTAATTTTAAAACTAGGCAAGGAGATGCTAATAATTACCACAGCTACAAAGAGCATACTAAAATTAGTAAAATTACAAAATTTGGTTGCGAAATATATATATATGAGCCTTGGAAAGTTCGCTAATTTTGTATACTTTTGTATTGCGCATGCGTGCGGAAATTGCTACCAGCACATTTGGGCCGAAATATTTAATATTTTCTTTTCTTTCTTTTCCACAAAGGAAAGGATACTTTTCCGAAATAAATTGATTGCTAAATTAAGTAAATTCAGCTATCATGCATTCATAATGACATTTCCTGTTGTTATGTTTTGCTAGCATTTTGTCCCAATTTCGAGTGTTGGGAATACTTGTTAACAAATATCGGTAACCGCCGATAGTAAATTAGGTTGGAACTTAATTATCGGATCGGTAAATTTGATTTTTGTTGATCGGCTCATCCCTAATATCGACTCTGTAGCGCAGTTGGTTAGAGTGTTGCACATTTCTGCGAGGGCGCCTATAGTTGCATTTTTTGCGACTGCTGAATGTATAGAAATTTGCATTCAAAATTTGCAATTTTTAGCGACAATTTGCAATGCAAATGATGATACATGAATTTGAATATAGCTTGGAAATAATTTGCATTCAAATAATTGTTGCTAAATATTATTCCATGTAACATTGTCTTTATGGGAAAAGTGGGAGCCACAGTGAGTATCCACGTTTGATGTCATTATGAGAAATGTCTATTACTTTTGGTTAATTAATTGCATGGTTGTACTTTATTTTAGAGTTTATGAAATGGACACAAAGCGTTTCACTAAAGAATCGTCCACAAACAAGGAGAACCCCAATGGAATTTACATTTGACGCTATCTAGCTATGACTGGAAGTAAGTTCACCCCCTGTTTGTAATCTAGCTATTTGGTCATGCATGCCATGCAAATTGTTTTCAGTCTTTAGAAATTTATTGTTTTCATGCGAACTCTCGCTTCTCAACTCTCATCAACTCTCATGCAACTCTTGTTCTCGTTTGACCGGCGCATGAAAGTTGAGAAAACTCTCATGCAAACTCTCGCTTCTCAACTCTCGTTTGACCTCCCGTTAATGCGGTGTCAATGCAAATTTCAAGTAAACTTGAAAAATTCTAAGTACTATTTAAAACACGAGCATATAGGAATGTTTTATCAGATATAAAACACGAGAGCACAGCTCGAGTGTTTTAGGGGTGGACCATTAGAAATCCCGGAAGGGGGGGGGGGTATAAAATGTTTGCGACACGATTTTTTTTTCAGTCTTGTGTCTCTGCAGGATTTTTTTTTAATGCATTTAACCTCTGCACGAATTTTTTTCATGACTATTTGCTGTTTGCTTGCACGAATCTTTTTTCTCTGATGTAATGGCTGCACGAATTTTTTTTCCAGGCATTTTTCTTTGCACGAATTTTTTTGGGGGAATTTTCACCCCCCCCCCCTCCCGGGATTTCTAATGGTCCGCCTCTTATACTGACAGACTACGAGTGTTTTAAAGTGCATATGACATGAAATTTCTTATTTTCTTAAACGAAAGAACTCTTTAAGCTGTAGTGTAACTTATTTTTCAGTTTCTTGTTTTTATGGTTTGTTCCCGAGATATTTCAATTTGTTTGATATATGTAAACAGGGCATTTTTTAACTATATAACTGGGGGGGCCAAAGCCCCGCCAGCCCCCATGGTGGCCCCCCCACTCAACCATTTTGGCCCCCCCAGTCAAAGTCCCTTTTCTCTAAAATATAAGCCAAACATGGAATTTAGAAGGGAGGTTTGATATTCTAGTAACTGAAATTTGCTTTGTGAATCTTATGTCCTGTCTTTTATGTTTAATAAATACCTTATTAGATTTTAAACATTTCCAGGCAGTGGCATGCATTTCCCAGACCCTATAGAGTTTGAGTTGTTGGACAAGTTAGTGACCGCAGGGGGCAACAGGCCCTCAACCAAGTGTTTTATAGGGGGGGGGGATAATTTTGGCCCCCACCAAAAAAAAAATTTGATTTCGAAACTAGAAGTATTTGAAATCATATATACATATAATCAAATATCTGTAATCGATATTTTGATAACATTTCTCGTAATAATCCATCCTGACTCGCGGATATCATAGACTCACAAATCATAATGAACGAATTAATGAAAGGGCCAAACAAAAGACGTATAGAAGACTTTGAAAATGCCATTTCCGACGATTTAGAGACGCAAAATTTTCCCGCTCTGTGCCAACAATGGTGGCGCTTCGTGGGAGTCAGGAACTCTAAGTTTATCAAGCTGGCTCCCTAAGTGACGGCCAAGTTGTGGTATCTACATAAACATACTATGCAAGTACTTAGCTGAAGGTTCAGTCTATCTACAGCATAATGTATTGCTGTATATCCAAAAATCTGTTTCAGAAAATGCAGGGAATTGCAGTCATAGGGGTAGAAAAATACAAAAATTTTCTGAGGGAGAAAATCCCAGACCCTCTCCAGGGCCGTAGCAACCGCGGGGGTGGGGGGGGCTGGGGGCTGCAGCCCCCCAATAATTTGCTAATAATCATTCATTTTTCAAAATCATGCAGACCTTTATTATTTAATCCATGACAAATTGCAAAGAGTGAAGATATTACCCATACTTTCCTGCAACTTATCCAATATATCGTTAATTCAATACACCTTCGTCCATTTAGTACTACTGAATTCTAAATTTCCACAAACTAAAAACGCTGTTTTCTGACAATCAGAAATCTGTCAAATCTTCCCCAAAGTACAGGAAATGGCATTTCAGAGACTCTAAATTTAAAAATTTCCTCGGGCCTTCGGCCCTCGCTTTCAGCCCCCCCCCCAAACGAAAAGAGCTTCCTACGGCCCTGCTCTCCCCCCCCCCCTACTATTAAATGCGATACCACACCAAACTTTTTGTTACCAACAAACCATCTATCATTGCTCCACACTCGGTATAGTATGGTCCCTTTTTGTAGATGGCCCCCCCACTGACGAATTCTTAAAAAATGCCCTGTATGTAAATGAGTGTGAATATGTCCGCTAATTTATGACGTCACGTTGGTTGCAAGCTCAACTTACACTGGTTATAAATCTATTAACTCTAAAAACTGTAGATATCTGTTTACGTTTTTCTACAGTGTTTCATCACATTTACCAGTGAGTGAAGTTTCAAATTATCATCTTGGATGATAGCCGTGATATTCAACCATTTTGAAGAGCTTGAAACCAACATGACGTCGCAAATTAGCGGACATATTCACACTCATTTACATATCAAACAAATTGAAATATTTCGGGAACAAACCATAAAAACAAGAAACTAAAAAATAAGTTACTCTACAGCTTAAAGAGTTCTTTCATTTAAGAAAATAAGAAATTTCATGTCATATGCACTTTAAATGGCTTCAAAATAAATCAAATCAAAATGAATTCACCTCACTTTAAGAAGTGAGTATTCGTATGGGATGTCATAGTCAACTACAATTCGGACTGGGTTCGATTTCAAATCCTCGCATTTTGATCCAGTTCTCGGCTTCGCTTCGGACTTGATCAAATTACGCGGACTTGAAATCTAGTCCAGTCCGAATTGGATGATTTAAAGTATTACTTAAAAGTATAAACGGAGTTTTCTAAGCCGAGAAATAAAAGCTAAAGTTTATGTAGCTAAATTAAATGATCTTTTATCACATATTCAAAAACTCATTAATATAATTCATGAAGCAATTATCCAATCTTGAGTAACTGAAATTAGTCACGTGCATACGTCTTTATACCAGCTAAAGAACACTTTAACAAAAGACCATTGTTATGCAAACTATATAAAGATTTTTATATAAAGATTTTTATATAAAGATTTGACTTATTATGCATACGTTTTTGAAGCCATTTAAAAAACTCGCAGGTCGTGTTTTATTAGGTCTAAAGCCACTCGCGCTCGTGGCTTTAAACCTAATTTGAACACTCCTGCTCGTTTATTAAGGTTACAGGACACCTTTTTTGGCGTTTTGCGGAAAATCGCTACTGCGCGCTCAATATCAGTCCGATTTTCATCAAATTTTCCCCAAATGTTCTCCATTGCATGCAAAATATGGTAAAGTTGTAAAATTAACAGACAATAAAATAATGTAAGAATTATTCAGGAAAATCTTAAATCGCGGTACCGTTACGCTTTTGAGTTATGTTCCTGCTTGTTTTAAGTTATATTTTTAATATGAAAATATAATTTTTATACAGTAAAATAGTTGTTCTAAAAAATTGTGTTCGGAAATTTTTGTTTATTTCGTCATTCCGCTGATATGGCGATTTCTTTGACGACTGCAATATATTTCTGAATTGTTTTAGTAAATTGCTCTTTATCTTTAAAATATCCAAAATTAAAAAAAAGCCGAACACCATTTTGAAACTGACGTCTTTAGCTATGTCGTGTGAAAATTTGAGAAAAATTGGTTAAAACCCGCGGGAGCATAACTCGTTTGAAAATCAGTAATTACCGTAAAATTTTTCGGGAGAAAATTGAATTTGAATATTACATTTTCACGGTTTTTCTTATTGCAGCGAAATGTATTTTATTAAATAACTCTGCGAGTTTTCAACATTTTCCGTTCAAACTTGGTCAGATAGTAGAACTAGTCTAATGCTTTCATGGAAACCAATAAAATATTTTTAGGTAAAATTAACACTCAAAGGTGTTCTGTAACCTTAAACAGTACTTAAACCACCGACATGGTGGTGATTTCCTAAGAGGGTATGAGAGTTGGCGGTCACGGGATCTTGGTTAGCTGTTCTTAATGCTTTCCCAAGACTATCATGTATTTTATTTAAGTTAAAATATAGTTGGAATACTCGTCAAACCTTTATTATGTTAATCTAGAGCTTGAAATCGGTCCCCCGTTACAAAGTGTGACTACTGCAACTCTCATTAACCCTTTCACCCTCGTTTGATTGTTTAATAAACAATCATCCTCAGAGAAAGTTGAAAAGAAACTAATGTAATGAAACTTTTCAACTTCCTTTCTCGCGAGAAATCAAGCTCAACAGCAGAGGCGACTCGCAGAAACTCTATACCGTCGACATACTTCGTATACGAAAGCAAATATAGCATAGGCACGTGACTGTGTGTGGTTATGCCGCGACCGCTTTAATTCCTGCTGATCGGAAGTTTGGGAAAATGAACGTCTGAAACACAATACAAGCATGTATTGTCTCCAAGTTTCAACTGTGTCGAGACGTGACTTGGGTATGCATGACTTAGCCGCCAACTCGACATATACTTGTATTATTTCAACTATACCGTAGTTGAATTGGATGCTGTTTTTTCTGTTCCGATAGTGGTTCTGTTAATGGTTCACCATCTTACAGTAAACATGCAGGTAATTAAGATATTTCAGACATGTATTTCACTAGGCTTTAAATAACTAGTAAGCTGCGTAGAGACTGAACGATAGAGATCTTACGATGTGAGACGGCAACGCGACGACGATGGCTATTCATACAATGAGATTCATGATATTTAAGGGAACATATATAATTACAGTACTATCCCAGGGGAGTTTTAGACGTCGTGCATGATCTGTTTCAACGGGAAACTCCAGACTTTTACGCCTTGGATAAAACGCCTGCATTTCAAGACGCGAGCCCAGTAACCCAGTATAACCAAACCCAAGAAGCCCCGCGCTTTTGGGGCCCGTGACACTGATGACACGGGCCCCGTGCTTACTCTTTTCGAATTTTTTGTTCCCTGTTTTGGCTCGAGGCCAAAACAAACATAATGCACAGTAATACATACTTTTAAGTGTTCCAATACACATTGGGTTTAATTTTAGTTCAAATTATTGATGTATATTTCGTTGGGTTTTTTTTTGTAAATAAATACTCGGGCAACTTTTCAACGCATGGCTTACAAAAGGATATTTTTATTTTTTGAAAATTTTGTCATCTTAGGCTATATACTGGGACGACATATAAATTTCTTATAATTGTTTATACAAAAGCGTTTTACAAGTCGAGATTGTCTTGTGTCGAAATTGAAGTTCATGACAATGTGCGGCACTATTCGTTCTTTGGAATCTACACATCGCCACAGAATAAACAGTGTGGGCACCTCAAACTGTCAGCGACATACTGTCAATAGAACGGGTTCAACGTCGCGCGACCAAATTCATCCTTTCCCTTCCTTACAGAACAGCCACAACATACAGGGAACGACTACTGGTTATCGGTATTCTCCCGGTCTGCTATTGGCACGAATTTCTAGACTTAGTTTTTCTTTACAAGAGTATTCTAAGCAACGATGTCAATGTGTCAATACGAACAACCACCCGGACGACTAGAAACGCCGACCCTGTCAATGGTATTCTTCTTAATGTATCTCGATGCAGGACAGTTAGCTACAAGAACAATTTCTATGTCAGAGCGCCTAGCGTATGGAACATTCTCCCTAGCAATATTCGTGACACTTCAAGATCATTAGCTTACTTTAAAATCTCTTTATTCAATTACTACTTAAACCTTTTAGAACAAATATACAACCCGGACAATCCTAGAACATTTAAGTCCGTGTGCGTCAAATGCCACTCAACTCGGTCTCTTGATAGTTTATTAGTGAGGACATGTTGTTGACATTTTAGCATAATTTGTTTTAATGTTATATATTGTAACTTATTGTGAGGGGCCCCATAATTGGAGATTATCTCTGTGGCTAGTCCCTGCCCGAATTGTATGTAAATTTTGTAAAGTATTAGTCTTATTTATGTCTGTTATGTTTGGCGAATCTTGTAAAATAAAATAAAATAAAATACTACACAGAAGTCCATCTCCATTGCTTTTTGCGTAAGCTCTATTCGTCATGATTCGTCACTCAGCAAGTACTGTAAACAGAAGCAGTCACCCCCCTGGAAATACTAAAAATGGCGCACGTCCAGGGGGGTGACTGCTTCTGTTTACGGTACTTGCTGAGTGACGAATCATGACGAATAGCGCTTACGCAAAAAGCAATGAGATGGACTTCTGTGTAGTATTCTGTGACATAGCTATGTGGGAAGTTCTTGAGAATTTGGCTTACACAGGAAATTTTTCGGTTTTGAATTTTGCTCCAGGAAGAGAATATATTTTTTCGGCCTGGCCCTGTATTACGTGGAAATGAAGGCCGAACATATTTGAGAATGATGGCTGAATTGTATGGTGGTAATTTACAGTACTAAGGGCCATGCAAAATTTATTGTACCCCCGGGTCAGAGCAAATCAATTTTGAATGTTAAAAAAGGCAAGCCCAACTTGGGCCTGTTTTAAGGCGGATTTCCATTCCTCGCACGAAGCTCCTTGCAGCTCGCTGCGAGTGATGCATGAGCACTTTCATCCAATCACAATGCTAAATAGTTAATTTTAAGTTAGATATACAAGCACTCGCAGCGAGCTGCGAGGACTGGAAAACCGCCTTTATACGTTGAATTTCGGTTGTGTCGAATGCAATTCAAACAATAGATAATGAAGCTTAATGAGGTTTATCATCTTGTCTTAATTGCATTTGACGCGACGAAAATTCGACGTATAAAACAGGCCTTAGGTTGGTGTGACAAAAATGGGAACTTTGCTAAAAAATGGGAACTTTGCTAAAAAAGTTGCTGCCCCGCATTACAGTCAGTAAAGAAAGCTTGTGCAGCTGTGCTTACCGTAGAGTTGCTTACCATGTTCAGCTATAGAGGAATTCGCTGAAACCGACCGGTTGCGGGTCTGAATCTCTCCTAAAGAGAATAAACCACGCCCTGGCCTCTCACTTGTAGTTAAAAAAGTCAAAGAAGTATGTGCCTCGTCTCCTTTTGCTCCGGGCCCGTATGAATTAAATTTTGCATGGCCCCTTAAATTTTTAAATTGTGTTTTTGTGTATGAAGCTTGATCTCAGTATACATTTGAGTTTAAACAAATGCATTGATTTGATCAAAAATAGGATTTGTATAAGAATGATCAAATTGTATTATTATCTTGAAAATTCGCGGACAGAAATTCAAATGAAATTTCTGCGCGGGGAACGCGTTATATGAGGAGACTATTTGGATTTGTATTTATTAAAATATATATAAAATCACATCAAAAGGTGAATTACCTTATATTTACAAGTTAAGAATTACGAAAACTGATTATTTAGTTTGGAAAAATTGATTATTTAGTTTGGAAATGTTATATGAGAAATATGAAGAATATTTGAATATTATATTTGCTAATGGATTTCTATTTAACAATTATAATATAGCATTTGTAAATTCTGAACGCTGATTGGGTAAGAGCCATGTTGATATAACTCAATGTCAACACGGAAACGTCGTAAAATTTCTTTCTTTATGTTTCTTTGTGCTATATTATAAAGTTTTCTCGTTTTCCCAATTTCCACGAGTGTTGATATAACTGTATATCAACACGGAAAATGTTTTATATTTGTTTTATAATATAGCACAAAGAAACATAAAGAAAGAAATTTTACGACGTTTCCGTGTTGACATTGAGTTATATCAACACGGCTCTTAGCCAATCAGAGTTCAGAATTTACAAATGCTATATTATAAGACTTATAAATAAATGTATTGCACTTTTTTTTAAATTACAGATTACAAAAGGCCAAAAGAGGAAGATATTTAGAATAAGCTTTATTTTGACCAGCCTTCTTGGCTTGGCCCCTTCACTCATACAAGGTATGGTAGTTATAGTTTGCTTGAGGATAAATCTCTGGTCTATATATGAATTCTCATTCCCTGGTCAAACGAGAAACAGTTACATGCACGTTGGTAGTTACCGTACGTGTGGCCATTTTCCTTTTACAGTGCTTTAATTTGTGAGCATGCATTTTGTTCCAAAGCCAATAGCCTAGCCAAGGCCGGTCCGAAATGTATTTGTGTTTACATTCATCCAGCTCCAAATTCATCTCGGTCTGAAGATTCGGTTCGGCCCAGTGAGAACGGTCTCAGCAATTTTTCGCCCAGGTCTCATGAAAACATCTATTATAAATGATATCGTCTGGAGTTACTAGTTAAGGGCTTCGCTCGAAGCGTCGAAATTCTCCTTATATTTTTCAGGTAGTTGCATTCCTACCCACGAAAGCTTGTTCATATTACCTACACAACTGGCACAGACACTTCAATATTATAAATAATTCTCTGACCGAAATGAAATCGTCCCGGTTTGACTTATCCAGGTCTCATGTAACAATTTATATACTAATATAAATTATTCTGCCGTGCTCTAATGTTTGCAGGTGATGAATGGCCAAGTGGTAATTATGGTCTTCCTAGATTTAAATCAGGATGTCCAGGTGGTCAGGAGAATGGGTGGCGTGAGGGCTGGATTTTTCAGGATATGGAAAACAGTGATAAGAGTAGCAGTAGTCGGTCAAGAGTGTCTAGTGGGTCACATATGGATGTCACATTAGTTGGAAATAAAAATGATGTAAACAGGACATTCTGCATGAAACAAAATACTGGAACACAAACAAGGTTTTGGCCTAAAGGTAAGATTCTCTATATGCATATTCTGACAACCTATATGAAACAGCCATGCAAGGGCTCATCCAATAATTGCTTATTATTAATTGGGCAACTGAGTGGCATTTTCGAAACAATGAAAACACAAAACGAAACACATTTCTCATGCCTTCAGAACTAATGTTATAATAATATCTCTATTCCTCATGCCATCAAAATAATATTTTTTAAATCAAAATGATTTCCTTATGTTGCAAGATGGCCGGACATTTTGCCGAAAGACATTTTGCCGAACGGACGTTTTGCCGAAAAACCTTTTTGCCGAATGGACATTTTGCCGAAAATAGAGATGTTATTTCGTCAAAATGTCTGGGACTGTGACTCATTTCTCAACTGTGTAATTCTCAACCATTGTGTAAAATAACCATTATATATGGTCATTAGCAGTGCATTATGGTCATAAAGGCTGATTTCCACTGTTGCGTTTTTCGTATACGCACGTACACGCACGTAAAACTTTGAATCCTTCTATTTTTAAATATTTTACAAATAAGTTTTACACATGCATACTAAAACTTGCGGAACACTAAATTATGTTGCTTTATTTATTTGGTTATTTCATTTAAATTAAGTTTTACGTGCGTATACGTACGTATGAAAAACGCAACAGTGGAAATCAGCCTTTAGCGGTATACAAAGACAACGACATAAGCGAATTTCAGTTCGAGAATCATGGAATACATTCATAGTTCTCGGGGAAATCGCATTCATGAATGATGTTGAATGAACTGTAACCGGGTAAGCGAACCTTTAAAGTTCAGAAGATATCTCTATTTTCGGAAAGTTGTCCGTTCGTCAAAATGTCCGGGTACCATGTTGTATATGGTTTTTTGAATGATTTCCCATCAAAAAAGTATTTTTATTTTGACAGGTTCATATTGTATTTACCAGAATCAAGGGTGTCCGAAAGATATGAAATCAGGCGCGGTCTACTGGGATGATGAAAATGATTACAACAGAAATATAAACGGAGGATTTCTACCGTATGGTACACAAGATCAAAATACCGCGATATACTATTGTTGTCAAACTGATGGTAACTGGTATGATTCAATTGAACTGCCAGTCAGTGAACCATTTCATTTACTAACATCTAGCTCCACTGACACTCCTAAATGTCAGATGGTGAAGTGGGCACTTAGTTACTTGGAGTATATTGTGTTTGATACAGAAGATACCAATAATAGAGATGCCCAGAAAGATGTACATTTGTTTTTGGATGGAGAAAAGAAATACTATTGTTACTATGAAGGTACGTTAATATAACTCAGTTCGTCAACTGAACATTCAAAGATTTAAAATGTACATTTCAAAGTATTCGACTGTTTAATAATCTTTTATGACATATGCTAACTATTTAAACACTGTCTGAATTGATTGTGCATGCATTTTTGGGCAGAGCTCATATTGAAGGCTGATAAGTGTCTAGTATTAACTCAGGTTGAAATTCTTTGGCTCTGAGATTATGAAATAAATTTGAATCAGAAAAATGAGTGATGGCGTGGAGAACAGTTGGATTTTCAAAACAGTGAAAAGACGATGGAAGTATGGAACATTCCAATTACTGGATCATACTTTACTGGACAGCACTAATATTACGATAAATTATACGAGCAAACTGCCTGGATTTTATTTTTGCCTTTGATTTTTAAGATCCTTTAATTCTATTTCAGAGTGCCACCGTACAATGACTGGTCTTAGTGGTTCATTTAGATCACATAAGGCTGCAGTTAATGAGATGGATCCACGCTCGCAATATTGTTCCTGGTTAATTACGCTTGCTGAAACATACAACGTTTCATTGAGCTTTAAAGAGCTGACCATACCAAGTTGTAAAGATACCTTTCTAAGAATATATGATGGTTCAAATAACACAGCTCCGTTGCTTGGCACATATTGCGGTTCAAATGCAAGCACAGAAATTGTAGTTTTATCATCCACAAATAATTTATACATCGTGTCAAATTCTGGAAGTTATGCAAGAAGTGCTAAAAATACTTTTACTTTTCATGCACAATACAATGCTGAAAATTTGACAGGTTAGTATGGTTGTATATGTAATAAATTGATAATTCTAACGTTATCAACCAGTGGTCGTATACCAAATAATAATATTGCTCGGATTTTGGATCTTATTACTCGTGGATTCCAGATCCTGACTGGTAGATTCTGCATCTTCACTTGTGGATTGCGATTTCCATCCTCATAAAAGTCGATGGATTCATTTATCTGGATTCTGGATTCAGTGCACTGGATTCCGGATTCCAAAACGCAAATTTGGATAACTGGTCCTTACATACAGAGTGATCATATTATCTCACTATCCGTTTCCTGTGGGTAAACCGATATATAGTGGGTGGGTAGTAGATTTTTGATCGTATAGAATAGTGAAAATGGAGTCGTTGCTCATCCTTTAGTTGATGCCAGGTCTAAGTTATAACGTTTGTTTACGCTTTTAGAATTTCAACCTAGTAAACTGCCTTCAGTGGGTAATAATGGAAGTTCTGTTTCTAAAACGGTGACAATATCTGCCATTTCTACTACACCTGCCATTTTACCATTATGTTGCTCCGAAGGCGAAGGCAAGTGAGGTTTTGCTTAATTACATTGGGATGTATTGTAGGAAGTTATTCTTTATCTGTTAGCAGTGTCGCGTTAATTAAGTTGTCTTATCATTTTGAGTTGGTTACTATAGAGATAAAATAACTATAATATTTTCTTATCCTTATTCAGTCAAGGAAAAAACAGACAGCAGAATCATTATCATAGTGGCAACAGCAGGTGGCTTTGTATTTCTTTGCATCGTGCTTATTGTCTTATTGATAACATACAAGCACCGGAAGCGGGCTCCGAAATTTTCAACTCCTGTCAATATTCCACTGACAGACGCAATTCCACAAGAATCATTGCCCATTGATCAGGTAAATTATTTACGATTGGTTAGTTTAGAACTGATAGAGCCGTCTAATATATATAAAGTCAGTTTAGTTCAGGTTTCCTCCTGTAGTAACACTGGATCAATAAAAGGTGATTCTTACTGGACCTCTGGGATTAGGAAGAACAGTTTAGAACTGATAGAGTTATCCAGTATAGAATAAGTTAGTGTAGTTTAGGTTTCCTCCTGTAGTAACACTGGATCAATAAAAAATTATCCTTGCTGGATCTCTAGAAAGAACAGTTTAGAACAAATAAAGCTATCCAGTATAAATAAAGTTAGTTTAGTTTAGGTTTCCTCCTGTAGTAACACTTGATCAATAAGAGATTATCCTTACTGGACCTCTATAGGAAGAACAGTTTAGAACTGATAGAGCCTTCCAGTATAAATAAAGTTAGTTTAGTTTAGGTTTCCTCCTGTAGTAACACTTGATCAATAAGAGATTATCCTTACTGGACCTCTATAGGAAGAACAGTTTAGAACTGATAGAGTCTTCCAGTATAAATAAAGTTAGTTTAGTTTAGGTTTCCTCCTGTAGTAACACTTGATCAATAAGAGATTATCCTTACTGGACCTCTATAGGAAGAACAGTTTAGAACTGATAGAGTCTTCCAGTATAAATAAAGTTAGTTTAGTTTAGGTTTCCTCCTGTAGTAACACTTGATCAATAAGAGATTATCCTTACTGGACCTCTATAGGAAGAACAGTTTAGAACTGATAGAGTCTTCCAGTATAAATAAAGTTAGTTTAGTTTAGGTTTCCTCCTGTAGTAACACTTGATCAATAAGAGATTATCCTTACTGGACCTCTATAGGAAGAACAGTTTAGAACTGATAGAGTCTTCCAGTATAAATAAAGTTAGTTTAGTTTAGGTTTCCTCCTGTAGTAACACTTGATCAATAAGAGATTATCCTTACTGGACCTCTATAGGAAGAACAGTTTAGAACTGATAGAGTCTTCCAGTATAAATAAAGTTAGTTTAGTTTAGGTTTCCTCCTGTAGTAACACTTGATCAATAAGAGATTATCCTTACTGGACCTCTATAGGAAGAAC